TCGTTATTTGGTGCCCTTCAGAAGCCCCGTGGTGGGCAGAGCACAGATAGCCCATTGTGTAGCTGTGTGCTTATGACCTTCAAAACTGTATGATAATTTTCAACCCTTCAATAGGAGATATATGTGTTTTTTCATGCTATACAACCCACTTCATGTGACCTATTACATATATACGTGTATTGTTAGTCTTAATGTTATACCAGTAGGTCTAACAATAACTCAATGTATTTTTAGTTTCGTCTGCTTTAAACATCCCACAATTTAATGATACGTTTTTTTTAAAATAATTACTGTTCATTTGTCACTAACCCTAACTCAGAGAGTGATTTTGATAACTTGTTGAAACATCGTTTGTGTATATTATTCCTTTTTTGATACACTTACGTGTATGTGAATTTGTATAACATGAGTCTATAAAGTAGAAAACACGTGCATGGGATTCTATTACACAAGTAAAGCACGAGGTCAGAGAGTTGAGTATATTTGAAGATGTTACGATTCATAAAATAGTTTACAAACAGTATTCGAACTTCTCGACGCCATTTTCTCCTACCCTTTTATTTTTGTAAATTATTATTTAAACTATTTGTATTGATTTTTGACATTTTGTATTGATTATTGATTATGATTTAACTATAAAATAAACAAGAACGAATTGAACCAACTTTACTTATGGTTATTGGAGATTTTTATCACGTGGTGAACCAGTACGATTGTACTGTAGACTCGTGTATTCCATTGAGGCAAGTCGGTCAGTAAAGTTATGAAACATACCCCTCATTAGGTTGGAGGAAGAAATTGAGTTGGATTTTGTTTCTGCACATAGCTGAAGTTATTAGGATATCTATCACGTGTAACTCAATATCTATTAACCCAAACATATATGTAGCTCAATATCTATTAACCCAAACATATGTGTAGCTCAATATCTATTAACCCAAACATATGTGTAACTCCATATCTATTAACCCAAACATATATGTAACTCCATATCTATTAACCCAAACATATGTGTAACTCCATATCTATTAACCCAAACATATGTGTAACTCCATATCTATTAACCCAAACATATGTGTAACTCCATATCTATTAACCCAAACATGTGTAACTCCATATCTATTAACCCAAACATATGTGTAACTCCATATCTATTAACCCAAACATATGTGTAACTCCATATCTATTAACCCAAACATATGTGTAACTCCATATCTATTAACCCAAACATATATGTAACTCAATATCTATTAACCCAAACATATATGTAACTCAATATCTATTAACCCAAACATATATTTAACTCCATATCTATTAACCCAAATATATATGTAACTTTATATCTATTAACCCAAACATATATGTAACTCCATATCTATTAACCCAAACATCAAATTGATTTTTACTTATCATAATCTATGTTTCATCTTTTCCCAAGAGAGTCAGTCGTAATTAATCGTATCATGTTGAATAAAGCAAACGTTGATCCCAAACGATTTTCACCGGCGAAGTGGTCTATATAAATATTATTTATGTTCCATACAAGTGTATCTATATAAGTAGCTGTGGTCTATGTAAAAGGTCTTTATGATCTATATAATAACTCTTTGTACTCTATATAATATGTCTGTGGCCTATTTAATAAATTTCTGTAGCTCATATAACCCAGTCTGGCCTGTATAAGAAATGTCTGTATTCCATGTAATTTAGTCCTTGTGATCAGTCTATATAACAAATCGTTGTGGTCTATAATCTATATAATAATTATTTATGGGCTCTATAATATTATATATATATTGTAATCCGAGCGTTCGTCTGTCTCTCGTTTGAAAAGCTGCGCACGCACGCAAAGCTCAACATTCACTTTTGAAATGACGGGAGAACAGGCACGAATAATGTTGATGTCAAATTGTATTTTGCAAGCAGGATATTCTACACTAAATTGTTAGTAATTAACCACACTATCATTCACATTTCAAAATGTGACGTAACTTAAAGAATTTAAATGTAGATTTACCGTATGTTATTGTTCAGTGGCTTATATCATGACTGAAATACTCAACAATTATTTTCGTGGTGAGTGGTATAAGTAGCTCAGAGCTTTGGCTGTGAGTGAAACCAAGAGCGTAACACAATTAACTTTAATAAAGTCCATCAAATAATTTATATTGATAGATTAACTAAAACTTTTCCCGTCACTGGGGACGGGTACTTTTGCTAGATTAACAGAAACGTTTCCCGTCACTGAAGACGAGTACTTACCAGTCACTTTCAGCATTTGTTCCTCTACTTACAAGTCACTTTCATGATTTCTTCCTCTATTTACAAGACACTTTCATGAGTTGTTAACAACTCATGAAAGTGGCTTGTAAATAGAGGAACAACTCATGAAAGTGGCTTGTAAATAGATGAACAACTCATGAAAGTGTCTTGTAACTAGAGGAACAACTCATGAAAGTGACTTGTAACTAGTGGAACAACTCATGAAAGTGACTTGTAAATAGAGGAAGAAATCATGAAAGTGGCTTGTAAGTAGAGGCATCTACTTACAAGCCACTTTCAGACTTCATTTTCTAAGCCAGATATTTACGTACAAACATATAAATGATAAGATTATTGATCATTGTTTAATATTTTATAAGGTCGTTGTTATGATCCGATTATTTCAATGTTTAGGATTTTACTGAAACGTTAAAATTAACCGTTAAGATAGTTAAATTAACCGTTAAGAGTTAACCGTTAAGATAGTTCACGATTTTCCTCACGGGGTGGAAATGGGGGAGATGAAAAACTAAAAAAAAAAAAAAAAAAGTTGTAATTTGTGTATTACTCAATATTTGTAAGTAGGACTGACATGGAGGGGAGAAGTTATTCTTTCCCTCACGTGCGTCATTCTTTGCGTTACGAACGTTTGTTTATTTTATATTTATAATAAAGTTCAGAGATTGACGAAATGCTTTAAACTTGGTCTAAAGTTTGCCACAATGTGATCCTGAATAAATCAACTTGACACGATCCACAGGCACCGAATATTAAAATATTCCCACGATCCCCAGGCACCGAATATTAAAACTAGCACCTGTTACGCAATCACAATGTACCAAAGTCTGGCAGTCTGCCAAGTCGCGGTGGTTCCAAAATGTTACAACATACAGTGAAGTTTTCAAACACTTCCGTCAGATGGCGCTGTTGCATGGAGGAATGAAAACAAAATTAACAAGTATGTTTTTTTTTGTAAATTTGTACAATGGCTACCTTTCATAGGTATAGCCAAGGGGAGGCCCAACGGGGCCACCCTCCCCTAACAAAATATATAATAAACTCGTTTTGTATCATTTAATAAAAAAATAAAACTTCTATAAACATTTACATTTGATCTGAGTGAAAAACCTGGCTACGCCACAGCTATTTTGCCGTGCATATCGCAGGGATCGAATCGCGAACTTACTTACTTACCTGTTCAAATTTTCTTAGCTATTATTAAGATTATGAATTATTTTTTATTCTAAGTCGTATATTTTTTTTCCCTTGAAACTACAATCGCGAAAGGTTTGTTTTGTTTCAAGTTTTTCGTTCAAAACTACACAAAATATTGAAAACATAGACTGAACTAAGGCAGCTAGTCCACAACACCCACCGCCAACTGTTGTCTCACTGAATAGTGGGACTCGACCGTCATTCTTATAACGCACACTCGGCCTCCTATTGCGGAAAGCATTTTTGCGGCAACGGGACACTAATCATGAACCCTCAGATTCCCAATCCTAGTACGGTAACACCTAGTGGAAATAAATGGCTACCTTAAATTGCTTTCCACTAGTTTTGATTCCCCTTTTCAGACCTTTGGCCTTCTTCATGTTTAAGGGCTAATGGCGTTCTTCTTCAATAGATATGTAATTGGTTTTTCAACTTCCAGTTAGTATAATATTTTCTGCTTGAAATCAGTACGTCTCGTAAATACTTTACATACGGTGATTTGACTCAACTTGACTATTTAGGGTTAACAAGAGACGAGTTAGTACGTCTCGTAAATACTTTACATATGGTGATTTGACTCAACTTGACTATTTAGGGTTAACCAGAGACGAGTTAGTATAATATTTTCTGCTTGAAATCAATACGTCTCGTAAATACTCTACATACGGTGATTTGACTCAACTTGACTATTTAGGGTTAACCAGACACGAGTTAGTATAATATTAGTATAATATTTTCTGCTTGAAATCAATACGTCTCGTAAATACTTTACATATGGTGATTTGACTCAACTTGACTATTTAGGGTTAACCAGACACGAGTTATGTCAGTTGTTTAAATCTCGTCCATTGAATGTAATTATCACAGTAAATAATCAACTGTTCAATGTACTGCATCTTGTACAACATCTGAATGTAGCCTAATGAGGTTACTGTATATTGTAGTGTAGCCTAATGAGGTTACTGTATATTGTAGTGTAGCCTAATGAGGTTACCGTGTATTGTAGTGTAGCCTAATGAGGTTACCGTGTATTGTAGTGTAGCCTAATGAGGTTACCGTGTATTGTAGTGTAGCCTAATGAGGTTACTGTATCTTGTACAACACCTGAATGTAGCCTAGTTAGATTACTGTATATTGTAGTGTAGCCTAATGAGGTTACTGTATATTGTACAACATCTAAGTGTAGCCTAATGAGGTTCTTCAAACAATTCAAAATTTGCGCACGATAATCGTGTGTGAATTTTGTATCTAAGTTACCAGTAAAACAGTTTAGTGAAAAACTGGAAAATATACAAGACACTGAGCAGTCTGAAATTTCAATATAAACTTGTATTTACATATCTCTTTCTATCATATATATATATATATATATATATATATATATATCAATTTTACACTTTTCTTAACACACGTAACATATAAACTTATAAACACAAGGTGAATCTTACATGATATTTCCTTAACAAAAATACATATTTTACAATAAAATACCTTTTTTAACGAGTTTATTTTTTGTGGTAAAGTTCCTCTCTAAATACAAGCAAATGTTTCACACGTAAACAAGATTTAAACCACGAGATACTTGGTCAAACTGTTGCACACAAACCAAGCTATTTCCTCTAAGATGTTCCGAATACACTTCCCCAAACTCAACCTTCTAAATCAGCTTATATATCACATGAGTATCAAGACATTTAGATACAATATTTACAAAATTGTGGAAGTTGGAAATACAATATCCTGGGAATGATGCACCGTTGGTCAAGAGATGTAACAGCATTATTCAATGGCGTCCTTCAGTCAATAAAGAAACGCACTTCGTACACTGTTCCAACCAGCTCCTCATTTAGGGCCACTTCCAGAAGACGAATTTAAAACATCATCTTGGTTGACACCAGAGTCAATTCGCAGCTTCTTCTTCAGTTTGTCCACAAGTCGACAATGAAACTTGTCCAGCGAAGTATTGGAAGCTGATTTGAGAGACTGACTTCCTGATATACTATGGGAACTATTATGTTCTTTGCTCTCATGTTCGAGACTAACAATGGCTGCCATTCTCTCCTCTACATCACTTTCAGGAGAGCAGGACAAGCTAGACTCGACTTGGGTTCCTCTTCTAGACCGAGATTGGCTACAAGCACTACCTCTTCGGGACCGATTTGGATAAATCTCGTATTCGCCTTTAACAACTGGCATCATAAAAGCCATTGTTTACAGAGGTTGTCAAGTTTAACTATTAAAACAGACTGGTCTCTGGTTACAATATCTTCAATGCCAAAGATTAACTGCTTAATAACTTCTGATTAGAAACGGGAAACAAATATTATGAAGTAAAATAAATCAGACTCTGTGTGGTAAAACGTACAGCTGTCAATCAAAATGCACACCTTGGCATTCTATGAGCAAAAGATTGTCTGGAAAGAACCATTGGTCTTTAAGTACCGAATGAAAAGCTGTCACGTGACGAGCAAGGGAAGATTGCCAAACATTACTGGCAATGTGCCAAAAATTGCAACAATCTTTCTTTGATATCATGTGGTCGACAGCAGCGCCAACACCGGTCACAGATAAGATTTTTAAAAATGAAACTTTCACGGTATAGTGTAAGAAACAACAATTAATACAACAATATTTACCAGTCGTGAACGATAGTTATTAAACAACGAATTTAATTGGTGTAAATCACTTCCTTCAGCAAGATGATGAGGAAAGTTAACTTTTTGATAGGAAGAGCGACAAATGAAGATATCAAATATTTACATTCAATTGGTTTACAGCATTATGGACATGTGACTAACTATAAATATATTGAACATGTTGTTACCATGCTACTAACCTTACCTTAATGTCCGTTGTTACCACACCTCTAGCCTTACCTTAATGTCCGTTGTTACCACACCTCTAACCTTACCTTAATGTCCATTGTTACCATACCTCTAACATTATATTAATGTCCATTGTTACCATACCTCTAGCATTATATTAATGTCCGTTGTTACCATACCTCTAGCCTTACCTTAATGTCCGTTGTTACCATACCTCTAACATTATATTAATGTCCGTTGTTACCATACCTCTATCATTACCTTAATGTCCGTTGGTACCATACCACTAGCATTATATTAATGTCCGTTGTTACCATACCTCTAACCTTACCTTAATGTCCATTGTTACCATACCTCTATCATTATATTAATGTCCATTGTTACCATACCTCTAACATTATATTAATGTCCGTTGTTACCATGCCACTAACCTTACCTTAATGTCCGTTGTTACCATACCTCTAGCATTATATTAATGTCCGTTGTTACCATACCTCTAGCATCACCAACATTCGGAGCGTGTTTTTACGGCAACGGGACGAGAACCATTAACCCTCGAAAACACATCCGATCACTAGAGCCTAAGATAACTATCATAACGTGGTTGATTATAACATGAGAAGACAGAAAGTAATGTCATAACCTTAACATCTTTCCTCATGACCTTCACCCCACTATCTCGTGCTTTTACGACCTAAAACTAAAAACATAACTGTTCATTCATGAGAAGTTCTGAACGGGTTGATGTTTTTGAAAAATCTCTACATAACTCTAGCTGTGAATTGGGAATAACGTCTTGACAGTCAAGAGAGGGCGCTAGCGTTTGGCCTAAGTTTTAATTTAATTCATCGTTCTAAGTCTAAATACTCTTCATTTCAAACTAACTTGAGTAATTCCTGTGAGAAATATCAAACTAACTAGAGTAACTCCTGTGAGAAATAACAAAGTAACTAGAGTAATTCCTGTGAGAAATATCAAACTAACTAGAGTAACTCCTGTGAGAAATGTCAAGCTAACTTGAGTAACTCCTGTGAGAAATATCAAGCTAACTTGAGTAATTCCTGGGAGAAATATCAAACTAACTTGAGTAATTCCTGTGAGAAATATCAAACTAACTTGAGTAACTCCTGTGAGAAATATCAAGCTAACTTGAGTAATTCCTGTGAGAAATATCAAGCTAACTTGAGTAATTCCTGTGAGAAATATCAAGCTAACTTGAGTAATTCCTGGGAGAAATATCAAGCTAACTTGAGTAATTCCTGGGAGAAATATCAAACTAACTAGAGTAATTCCTGTGAGAAATAACAAAGTAACTTGAGTAATTCCTGTGAGAAATATCAAACTAACTTGAGTAATTCCTGTGAGAAATAACAAACTAACTTGAGTAATTCCTGTGAGAAATATCAAACTAACTTGAGTAATTCCTGTGAGAAATATCAAACTAACTTGAGTAATTCCTGTGAGAAATATCAAACTAACTTGAGTAATTCCTGTGAGAA